TTCAACAAACTGTTGCAAGTGCACTCACAAAGACGGCTCCTCCCTATAGATCTTCATCGACGGACTTTGGAAGTATTATTCCACCAATAGTATCTACGTGAATGATTATTATTCAAGGATCTCGTAATATCCGTCAAGTTTCCAAAACCGAGGCTCTCCAGTCGGTGATTCATTCATTTCGTGCCCACGCTATTCTATTCTTCATATAAGATGATGATTCTCTCTCGGGGGGAAGGAATGAACATACATGTCGGTATCGGAGTTCCCCGTTTGCATAAGTGGAGGTTCCGGACATTCCGATCCTCGCATCCAACACTCTTTCCTGCACTTATTGCGCGGAAGGCTTCCTAATAGTTACCTAGTACGTTATAGTCTCTTTCGTCATCCCGAGGTCTGTACGGAGCATCGGAATAGGAAAAGTTCTGCAATCTCTTCGCACAGAGAGTAGCGCGATTATAAGAATATGGACGCTTGTTTCAAAATTTGACGGAATTTAAAAAAGTTAATCCTCTGTGTGTTGATCGAATCATCGACAGCAACGCTTTCTTATAGGATAATGCTCATCCCTATTTAAAGTATGATCATGTCTCTTTAGTCTGATTTGGAGAGATTGTTACAGTTGAATACAGCTCGCTTGTGCCCTAATCATGTCCCAGTAAGGTCTTGATAGAATGCGCTGGCGTTTAACCATTCCGGTTTTTCGACTTCCTCTGCAGGTGCGTCACTATTTTTCTCTGATTCCCTTCCGCGATCTGTCAGTCATAGCACCCGCTGCCTTCGAGAAGAAAGTCTCTCGTGGCGGCGGAGCTGAGAACTGTGAACCATCTCTCTCGGATACCCAAGCCTTTTCGGCTCCCTAACGTCTGCGATCGGGATCGGACCAGCGCTCCACCAAGTAGAATTTGAACTTTTCCTTCACCCGTCACCGGCCAATAGATTGATCGCTCGACCAGCCACTACTCCCGTAGGCGAACCCGTCCCTCAAGTCGGTTCGGTCTCACCGAGAGGCTCGATGAAGACAACTAAAGACCGACGACCAACCAACCCACCCACTCCATCTTGATGAACGTTTTTGAATCCGGTGCTATTATCATATTCCTATGAATTCGAGCTCCGCGTTTCCCAGCTTCCGAACCAGTAGTACATCCCAGGCGGAAAACCATCGATTGTTCATAAAATGAACACGCTCTGTAGAGTCTTCTGTGAGGCAGAGAAGGTGCGCGCAATTCAGAATTTTGTGCGAGAAAAAGCTGTCGAATCTGCGGGGCCATGAATATCCGTGAGTCGTTACCGAGAGGCAATGGGAAGTGGTGGAACGATTTGGCACAAACGGGCTTTTTGTTGGAAGTAGAGGTCGAGAGGAAATTTTCCATGATATATACGCTGAGGCAGTCTCTAGAAACCCACAGACTCCTTCGAAACTCGCTGCGCTCGCAAACTCCAGCGGAATTTCGGGGGAGAATCCACGGGCTATCATTCGGCGGAGATCGAGGAAATTCGAGAGATTAGAAAGTGACGATTGAGCTTATCGAGGCAAACTCCGAAATATGCTCAAGTCCACATTTAACTCATCCAAAAAAATCCAGAGTCAATCCCATCCAATGGTCGGGAAGTCGAATCAGGCTATCAGCCGGATTCTTCCGAACTCAATACAGAGAATTTTTCCTCCCCTGTTTGCAAGACTACTTCTCCGACAAATCTCACGAGAGGGCTAAACAAGCACCGACGTCAGCGCCAGTCGTGGAGTTTTTCCCCGGCTTCCCAGCAGCTCGGACCTTGAGCCGCGAAACATAAGACATCCATTTCCTATTCGCTCAAACGCAGAATGTCCTTTTTTAGACTCGGTAGATTTTTATCTGTACAGCGGGTGTTTACGATAGCCCACGCAATCATCGCAAAAATGGTATTCGCGATCTGACTGGCGAGACGAACGGTGACCATGGTAAAAGGAGTCATATCTATCTATTATACATAGGCGACGACCGCTCTGACTGCGCTACAAGCGCGGTCAAGCGGGGCTTTTATGACCCGGAGAAGCCCCGGCTAATGTTCCCGCTCAGGAAACCTGAGGGGTTCATCAATGCTGACCGAAGATCGAATTCGCGCTTCGAGTATCGAATCGGGGCGAGAGAAAAGCTCAGGACTATCCGAGGACCCACTCAAGAGAATACGCTGTGTGCTCAGATCTATGGGGAGCTGCTCGAGTTTAAACAGAGGAATTATTGTGCCTAATCTCGATGTAATTCACAAGAGTCTACTCTCCGGAATCGCCGAAGATTCTCCCCACCTCGTCTTTGGCTCATACTGTATTTTGTATGTACGCAAGATCAATGTTTGCAGGAGAACGGAAACAAAGATCCAAATCCTGAAAGATCCTCACGCTTTCCCCTACGAATCCCGATCGATGTCAGTCGACTCTTCTCCTCGTCTGGAATCATCTGTTGTACTCACTGGATATACCGTATGGGGTTTGCTTGAATATATCTGCATCCCAAGGCGATTCGACTCGGGATTTTCCCGATTCGAGTCCCGTGCGTTCGACTCGCCCGATCCGGCGACGGGTTATGCGTATGCATGGGTACGCTTGGTTTTTGTTTCGATTGGTGGAGCTCCGTCGAGGACCGGATACTTCAAGGCACTGTACCTCATCACATCTCACATCCTTCCGCACACGCACACAGCGTCATCCGCGAACCCTACGTTTCCAACTCCGTCGGCGACAACGCAACCCCCGCATTGCAACTGGGTCCGCTCGCTAACGCGACCTGCGGGCGAGCTAATAATAATAATAACGTAATAAAATCTACAGAGCCCTCCTTCCTTGAGCACACATACGACGCAGCAGCGTGAATTCCATGCAAATATTCATCGGATCCCACGATCTACCCGCTCAGAGTTCCTAGCCCTCCATGCGTGCTCTCCAAGAGCTACGCTCGGCCGAAGCTGGATCCCAGGGAGCCTTCCCCTCCCTGGCTCCGAGACGACCGACTTCAGAACTCCGTAGCGATGACTCCTCCAACTCGTTGACCGTCCTCACTACAATCGTTTGTTTGCATTGGTGTCTTGACGCACTGCTCGAATAGCCAGGAGTTATGTTTGTTGGATCAGACGGTCTAAAACTACAAATGACAGGGCGCAGCAGACGGGCATCGGAGGGAACAGAAGGTCTACGCACCTTCAGACAGTTACGGATCATTGGCGGGAGTGGGGGGAAAAACTCGATCGCGCCTACGCGAGAGAGAGTCCATCAGTGTCAGAGGATTGACCGACGACCGTAAGCGTCTCAAAAGTGAACTTTTCGTCCGAATCGACGCTTTAATGCTTGGCGGAATAGTGACTAGCCAACTTCGCGGCCCGGCTTCAACTCGTCGGGTGTTCCTCCTCGAGACTTATCCCGCTCGTTCTCTCCGCTCGCTTGTCCGGATTACGAGAGCGACTCGGATTCGGAATGATGATTCAGCTGCGTCAAATGAGCGAACTTAAAGGAGTTCGGCATGACGAAAGGACATTGAACTCGCTTATTTACTCTGATGATCGGTGATAGGCACCTCGGAGTCAGGATAAAAATATCGGAGGAGGGAGCGAGTCACACTGGAAGCTCACTTCCTCCCGAGTCGCCCGGCCGCCTTTTCATCGAGGAGCCAGCTCGATGCTCGGTAAACAGTTCGAATCGTGCCGTTTGTCGAGCTTCGTTGGTTGGACTCTCCCCGAATTCTGCTGCGCGAAGCCTTCGCAGACTCCGGCGGACCGGACCCGATGTTTACTCCGTCCATCTTCCATTAGGAGAAAAGTTTGTCCATACACAGCAGCGCTCCTTCCTCCCGCCGACCGCCCGGCTTCCCGGCCAGCCGCTTTTCCGTGCAAAGCTCAGCCAGCGGATGATTAGCGCCGCTCCGAAAATTTTTGGGATGACTGCTTTGTGATGTCTCTCTGAAACATTCTTGGCCTGCGTTCAAGTCGGGTGCGAGTATTCCCCGCTTCTGATACGAGTCACCACCATTGTCCACGTTGTTTCCGCGTTGCAGAATGCTTTGAATCAGGGCTTTTTGTTTAAGGTTCCGGTCGTGCAATGCATATCACAGTCTACTCTAGGTTCTCTTCACACATACAATAAACACACACGCGTAAATACAATCCTCCGCAGAACTTGACAGATGCACTCCACTTGGTGGCTCAACGAACCGCCCACGTTGTCAAGCACTTGGACGTTGTTGAACGAAGCTGTAGCCTCGAGGCGACGGATGCGGTGGCGACGACGGTGAAGGCATTATTTGTAGAGACGTAGAACGTGGTGTATAGGAGGGGAGGTTCGCTCTCCTTGTTGTCCCCGTACCTCCCCTCCTAATCTAAGCAAGTCGTAGATCCGCGAAAATCCTCATTCGCAGGACTATGCCCTCGGAAAAAGCAGTTCCCTCTGCTTACAGATCTCTGACCCCATCTGGCAACAAACCAGTGCCCCATCGGTGTTGGCAATGCGTTGCTCCCGCGGAGTCTTCGTCCGAAATTCCTCCCCCCCCCTAGCCCTGCGGAACTCCCACGGTACGCCTCCGGCGCTCTCGCAGAACCCCGCAGAACTTCCGCGACGTTCCTCGTCTCTTCGCGGACGGGCGTCTCGTCATCTCTGTTCCTGAAGTCCGACCATTACAGAGGTGTGGGCCGGTTGAGCTGATTCGCTGGCGAACAGGCTCGCATGCAGCGTGGCTGGGACCAGAACACTCTCTGGCTTCAATAAGTGTACATATGTATGTGTAAGGATCATGCGAGGAGCCTGCTGCCGTCAGCGGAGAATCAGAACAACGTTCCAGAGAAGAGCGACATCGATGGCCATAGCGTCGGGAGCGGAGAAAAATTACGTCTCATCGAAGACTGATCCGGAAGAGGAACGCGTTGCAGCCGTAAGCTGCTTAGACGACGTTTTGGGCCGCCATGCAGCTACCGATAGAGTGTTTCTGTCCACAGGGGCAGGACACTCGAATGTTGCCAAACAGGGTCAGTCGAATCTATTCATTCTTGTCGACTTCGGCTTTCTCCTCGGTCAATTCGTTCAGGGTATTGACGTACATGTACCGTGAGAACCGGCAGTAAAGCCGGCGGAACCAGGCGTATTTTGAACTATGTTGGGACATCGCCAACTGCAATCAAAATAGAGACCATTTAGTTTGTGCGGCGGAAGAATTGACGTCCGACATCGCGCCTCATCGGAGCGCCTCGCCCGAGTGGCGGGGCGCTCTGATGAGGGCAGGCAAGCGGGCGATCGGGCGCGTTTTTGCGGCGAGGTCGATGCTTCGACCCTTCGTAGTGGCCTCTCGAGCTCCCTCGGTAAGAGAGCCCCTTCCTCGCGGATCACGGGTCTCGCTCTGACTCTCTGTGTCTCCATTGAGGCTGATAGTGGGAGAATTTCGCAGGTGAGAATTTGCGTGACAACTTAGGAGAAACAAGTGGAGGACTGCATTTTGTTTGCTCACGTATGTTTGCGACGGGAGTCAACAAGCCTTTTCAAGAGCACTTGAATAAGATTCGTTCAGAGCACTTCGGAGCAGGCACTCCATTTGAGGGGGGAAGAGGGAGCGAAAAGCCGATCGCATTCCCGAAAGCCCAAACACGAAGTTCAATAGGAACTCAACGGCAAGTACGCCTAGCAGCAGACAGGAGGAAGATAGCGATGAACGCAACCCAATGGAAGAAGTTCTTAGCCGATTCGACGCTAAAACGCAATCAAATGATATTTCCTGACGACGTGACGGCGCCAGTGGTGTACCATTCGCCTTTCCGCCATTTTTTCGCTCCGGAATCTCGGGTAGACGGTTCCTTCTCTCCCCTTTCAACCCCCTCCCCCCGCGTTCCCCATCGAGAGAGGAGCGACGCGCAGCCGAGCTGCCCAGGAAGAAGAGAAATGAAAGAAATATAAATGCCCTGGACGTCGGTGGAGACAAAAGCTCAAAAATGGTGCTTTTGATGCGCGGGAGCATGCGCCGGGAACCCTCGGCAGCTCGAGTGAGCCAACTAACTGCCTTTTTCCTCCTGTCTGATGCCTGTCTCCGACTTCCGCTCCCCATCGTCTCACATCGAAAGGGAGGGCTGTGCAAGCATTTTCAGTGTTCGGTCTGTCGGCCCATCTCCCTTCTTTCCACTGATAAGAGCAAGGCTACGAAACGACGGGGACGGCGACTCGGGCGACAACTCAGAGAAGAACGAGAAGACAGGACGGTGGAGGGGACCGAGACGAGTTGCAGGACAACAAGGTAGAGAACATTTCCCGGAGCGAGCGAGTGGACGAACGCTCTCACTGAACTGCGACCGAACTCAGGCAAGGGAAACTTAAAGGCGGTGAGGCTGTCGGAGAATCGGAGTCAAGTCCGTGGAGCTGTCCAAGGATCGGAGTCAGAGACGGCGAAGGCATCGTTTCACAAATCGAGGGAGGACAACACCCGACAAAAATAAGCAGCGCCGTAGCTGTTGTGCACGGGAAGCCCATGAAAAAACGAGTAAGATAGATGGAAGAGAACATTGACGGGAAAACAAGGAAAAGGAGGAAAATGAAGGGAGCGATGGAGCAACAAAGCGAAGCTCGGAATGATAACCATGAACGATAACCGGCACGGGAGATTGAAGCTGGAAAAATGGAAGACTCCTCCGGAGGAAGGATGATACGACCTCGAATGTGAATCACGGACCCCGGAATGGAGGTGATGAATCGGAAGTCGGCTCACTCGCCCAAGGAAAAAAATCGAAACGAAACCGCTTCCAACTCGAAGCGAGGAATTTTTCCGCCTTCTCCCGGGGACTCTGTGCACGGACAACGATAGGAAACTGCTGCCGCCTGCGCGGCCGCTACTAGTGGTCGTGGTCGGGGGCAAAAAGGAGCCTGGCTCCTCATCGGGCCCGGAGATGGAGGGTGGGTGTTGGGGGTTGAGAAAAAAAGGAATTTCGTGGAACGGAATGATTTAACCAAACAGAGAGAAAAGAGGCCCAGCGAACAGGCGGTCGGGGAGTCAGAGATTCTCCGCGGGAGAAGACCCTCGGCGTGGCTGGAGCTGCTCCTTCTGGAGTCGTTCGCCTGACACGACGACTCCGGCGTCGACTCGGTGATAGTCGGACCGTCTTCGTCGGAGCAGATTGCACTGGGCTCATTTTGGAAATGTGTTCACCCGTGATAATCGTTCCTAGTTCGCGCCTAGTGTGAGGAGCCGCGACTTCTCGCGGGCATCGAGGGGAATAGTTCGAAAACCCCGAGCGGCTCGGCCGCATCTCCGATTCACTTCCTCCTCCCGCTCGCTGACTCGTGGGTCAACTCTGTCTGAGTGAGTTACACGACGCGATGCCACAATCGCTCTGGGACACTTCCATTCCGCTAGACCATCTCTGCTGCGACTTTCCTGAATTCCTGAATACGGAGAGTCGAGGAACGATACTCACATCGAGTTTCCGCCGTTGATCTGGCGTCAGAAGATAAACGTAGCACGATGGCCAGAGGTAGCTGCACGCCCCATCTAGCAATCCACTGTACTTCCGTAAAGTATTCACCGACTCGAGCATGAACACTCGGAAGTCCACCTGCGACGGGGGAGGGGGGACGGAGAATAGGAACCAGATGTTAGAAAGACACTCCGCTCGCAACTGACTGAGTCTGATAACGATGGAGCCGCCGATGAGGAACGTCCAGAGACGGCGAGTGAGCTCCCCTCGGTACCTAAACTTCCTCGAAGCCTACCTTGAGACCCGTCTCAGCGGGGTCTTCGAAGAGATAGAGCAGAGCATCGAATATTGACACATTATTCGAGTGGCCACTCACTCCGTAATGGTCGAATGATACCACCTGAGCCAGACGGAGCAGCGGAGAAGAGAAGGATTGTTAGACCTGGCCGTGCCGAGCTCAAATAGCCTTACTCAGCGATTCGTTTGGTACCTATGCAGAACGACCACTCACTGAGGGTGGTGGCCATTCAGCCAGCCGCCCATCCAGTCGGCCTGCTTAGCTAGCAGATCGTACTGCAGCACATTCTTGCTCTGGACTATTCCCGGCCTCGCAAGAGTACAGAAGAGTCGATATACGTTGCAGTCGGTCGGGCTCGAGGAGCATCAGGCCGATACTTGGTTTGGCAAATGGGCATGGAACCCGATTAGTCGCATGGGTCGAAGGTTTTGCTGCACGTTCTTACAAGCGATCGAGGATATCGGCATGGGCGACGAGAATGGCAGTTCGGAGGGGGAAGGACGCTTACGAAGCCGAGTTGCGAGAAAAGCTCCTCGTCCTAATGCGTCTGCTCGCTCGCTCATTGATCGCTTCGAGAATCCGCTAGTCGTAATATCGGCGCCGCTTTTTCTTCCCATTTGGCTCTGCGTCACGATGAGCGACCTTGCGCAGGACTCGCCATTATCGAGAAATCCATCGGTTCTGTGTTCCCTTTCATTTCGCTTCATATTGTTCATTTCGCACATCGCTCCCTGACCCGCGGAGTTATTCCTCTGCCGTGTCTTCGGTGAGCTCGAAGAATTCCTCTGCTTGTCCCCATTGTGTAGTGCAGCTCCTCCGCTGCCGCCAGTTTTTCCTTCACGTCGGTCGGCCCTGGCTCCTCCGGCCTCTTATTTCCTTGTGGGTCCCATGTCCCCTACGCATCTCCCTCTGATTCACTCGTTTTTGCTCTGACTGAGTGAGTGGCAGGCAATAGAAGGGCAGGAGAGCCATTGGACAGAGTTTGGAGAGTGGCCGAGTCGGTTGGCTCATCTCTTGCCCGCGCACCTTCCCGAGCCAGTCGGCTGACTTTTCGTGCTCTGTACTAACCGTGTCACAATTCAGGCTGGTGACATATTTGAAGATGAGGTTGGCTACGAGTCGGTCATTCCAGCGTTTCTTCGGGTGCTCGGGAAGCAGTCCGTGTTGAATTACGGTTATGTTGCCTGGAGGAATTCCTAACGCGCGACACGCATTAACCAGCTCGGCTTTCCGTCGAGAACCCTCCCGGTGACAGTCTCCTGCGGAATGAATTACTTGCATAACAATGCCTTTCGCTTCCGGTGTTCGTTCGGTGGCATCGCAGCCCAACAACTAATCAGCGCTTTTTCGTATTTCGAGACCCACAGAAATTAGTTGTCTATAAGTGACGTAGGAGCGCCATAAAGTTCCACGGTCAAGCAACGGGAATTACTCGCTCGGTGTGGCATGCTTCAGGGTACGACCCGGGCCTACAATCAGCGACGGTAGCATCCAGGTCCTCTAGACACGATCCTATTCAAGGATCAACTGTCCGTTCAAGCGTAAAGAGCCGAGATGCCACATTTTCCATCATAGTCAAGCTCGAATTCCTTTCTCCCAAGACTGCCCGGGTCGACCCTTACAATGATCAGGATCGCCTTTCGGATAGATATAATAAATTGAAATCTCTGTCTGTCAGTCGACGCTGGCACCGAGTCCGCTGCCGCACAAACGAATCTCTTCGGCGGCGGGAAGCTCGGCATCGTTTGTCTTCCACTGAATCGACAGTCCATTCGTCTGGATCCGTCCGCCGGTACGCTCGATCTGTCGGCTTGAATAATTGATTGAATATATTCATAATAAACTGGAGGAAAAGAGCGATCCACTTACCGGTTGAGAGACATAACAGATACACTTCGGTTCCTCTTTCAATTTCATTTATTATCAAGGGCCCGAAGAACATTGACTCGTCATCGGGATGAGCTGTGACTATTAGCAGTCGCTCGACTCCACTCAGCTGTTTCGCCGTACGCCGTTTGCGCGAACACACGATTACTGGGGGAAAAGAGAACGACATGACTGTGCCAGTATGAAAAAAAAATTACGACGGGACCGATCGCGTCGCGCCCGATCACGCTTCAAATGGGTGCTACCTATATGATTTTTCTCTGTCCCGCGTACGTGTGCTCTAAACCCAGTCGGATTCCGTCGGACTCGTCTCCGTACGTCGACGTGTTTGCGAGCTCACGCCGCGGAACAATCACTCGAAAAGGACTTCGCGGAGTAACATTGGATAAAAAAAAAGAAGATTTGGGAGCGGGGTGCGTATCGGTGCCGAGGAACTACGGGAAGCGATACTGAACGGAGGTGGTCCCGCTCCCAGTGATAGCGACTAGAAGGCTCAGTGTATTGGAAGGGAAAATGTCGCGGTCCTCGCTCACTGCGCACACGTACCCGGTGATATGGAGAGCAGCAATGCGGAAGAAACTACCACTTATGGAACAGGCTCCGATGCAGACCGCTAAATCAAAGGGCACCGGGGAGCTCGCTCGCCAGTAAGACGGAGGAAGCGTTTGTTGAGAGCCAATAGCAACAGCGGCCGGCCGCTATGATAAAGCTGACAAGGCTCCCACAGAGGAGGATCCGAGGGGGAAATTCCCGCTCTTCGCCGAAAGCAATATTGAAGGGCACGTAGCCAGTTGTTGCAACCTAATCCCTCGAACGCCGACTGACGTTTGTCTGCCAGCGCGGATGCGTATTCCATCTCGCTTGATCTCCCTCCTGCGGCCGCCCCCGTTGCTGATCGCGGGGCTGGCGTAGCCAGCCGAGGATGTTTTCGCTTCAATATCCTCTGTCCTAGCAAATTGGTGCCGATTCCTTACGCGAAGCCCATCGACCGAGATATGCATTCAGGTGGTTAGACTCCGGGACTCCGAGCCGTCCAAACGCACACAGGATTCCTTGTGGCCGAGCCCGCGGACTCCTACATTCTATTGAATGCATGGACCCCCAAAGAAGGGGGTCTGCGACACATCTGCCACTGATTCGTACCCATGTGGATCAGCTTGGTTCGCCCCAGTAGGATGCGTTCTAACCACTGGCCCTCTCCGCGGTACGTACCGGTCCATGCCGAGGTGATTGTCCACATTTTTTCCCCGCAGGCAACTAGGAGTCCAGGTTTTGCTTTATATGTATGAGGTCCGGTTACTGATTCGGCAGGGCAGGGTTGACTCCTGCCGAGCAAGCCGAGGAGCGACCATTGATGGACTTGAGTTATGAACGACGACGGATCTCTCGGAGGTAGATGCCTCCGTTTCGTCGGAAAGTCATTTCGGTCGCTCCCGGAGGATAAATGAGACCAGACCAATAGGAATTCAGATTGAAAGTTTTTGCATCAACTCAACGATAAGCAAAAAAATCACTCTGCCACCTCCGAACCATCTAGTTCAATCCCCTTTGGTCGTGTTCGGGCATGAATGAATAGGGAGGAGAAATGAAGACGTCTTGAAGGGAATATGGTATACGCAGCGTTCATGGAATATTTTGCCTCATTGGGACAGCGTTCATTCAGCCACAACTTCACGGGACAACCGACGAGGGGTCTCATGAGTGAGTGGCCGCTTGTCTGGCTCCCATACGATCATCGTGGAGGCCTAGATTTCCATGCGAGTCTTAGCTGGAAGCCTCACTCGCAGCGATGATCGTAGCAGCATGAGTCAAGAGGGAGCCAGGGCGATTTCCCTCGTCCAATCGAGGGCCAATTTTCAGGCTTGTGATTCGATACTTGAGTGGAGGACGTCTTGTGGTTTTATACTCTTCCGTTTCCTTTGGTTCCTTTGCTGTGGGAAATGCTCACATACGGCCAGGACCTTATGGCTACTCGGCTCGAGCGGAGCCGAGACCCGAGAGCTCGGTTGCCAGCGCAAGCGCCCTACGGTCTTATAGAGTCTCTCTGTCCGCCGAGGGGGACATTCCTCGAGCGTACTCAGAGCAAAACTAATTTAGAGCTGAGTTCTCGAACTCAATTGGAGTCTGGTTTCGCTTTTGCTACAGATTCTTCGGGGAGTTCTTATGCTGCCCATCTCTACGAGTGCTGTCCGTTCACAAATAATTGGAAAGGCTCCGATCGATCCGGAGCTGAGAAGACCGTCGATAAAGGCACACGTACAAGACAAGTGGGAGTGGGCGACATTAGCGTCGACGACCCCATGTTTGCGATTTCAAGACCTGAAATCGCGGGCCGTATCGACAGCTCGGCATCAATGCCGGAGGAGTTTAGCTCCGAGAGGTAGATGCAAGGTAGACCTAGCGAGATTAGGCTGTGCGACCGACCGACCGGGTGACGGGCAGACACCAAGCAAACCGAACGCTCCATAAGGAGCAGCCGTCTTTGTCTACGGTTGGTCAAGCTTGCTCCGATGAAGAGGCTCACCCCACGGCAACGACTCTCGACAATACGGATGATCCTCCGCAAATTCCGCGCTCGATCTGGCTGAGTGAGGGGAAAGCCCCGATTCTGATGTTTCAAGGAATATATATCCGACCGAGCATTCCCTCTCCTTCTCTGTTCTCAAGGCCGTCGGCGTCGAGGTGTTCGCGGTGACCGAAAAGTAGACGCAGGGCGCAGTGCGCGGAGACCGTACTGATGACGCGGCGACGGCAGTAAGGGCGGAACATAACGGCTTCTCCGCAGCTCGCTCGCTGTCCGCTGCTCTGCGAGCAGCCACAAATTCGAGGCGAACAGAGAATTCGCTTCCCATCCCGTTCGGTTGCTTTCTGCAGTTCTCGTGGTTAGTCTGACGGTAGGTCTGCAACTTCCCCACGTTCCTTCGTGGTTGACTGTATCACGCGCGAGCGCTTTTCCGCATCACACAAGGGCGAATCACGGTCTGCGCGGCAACAACTCGGTTTACGACGCGACTCTCACCTCTGCGTTAAAGGTTAGGAGGGTGGATCTCTTCGTCGGCCGGGAACGGTTTGGTATCTGATGTCCGACTGGTAGGGTTCAGGTCACCTCACAATGTCATACTTTGTCAGTTTTCACCCAACCTAGCCTCTCACTAGTCGGGCATCTGAGAGTCGGGCATCTGAGATGGTACCCCGGGAACAGAGCGAACAATCATGGATTCGGGGTCGGATCGCAAGAGGTATCGCGAGCGGGAGGGAGATCAGCGAAGATTAAGCCTCGATCATCGAAATCTGGGATACCAAGGTAGGCGGCACGAACTGCGCCGACTACCGATTGCGTACGAGTACGCGTCATTTCTTCTAGGAGGGGACGCTTCCGGATCACGGAATGAACGCGAGCTCCGACGCAGGGCCCCTTCTTCGGCAGCTCCAGCGATCAATGACGTCCCGCGGTAAATAATAATTATTCATTTCGAGGAATCCCGCTCTCCGTGCGGACTTTAATCGCCGAGGAGCGATCGGGCGGTGCAAATATTGACTGACTGGGACGCTCCGAGAAAGAAACAGTGGAAGTATTTCAGACGGAATCGAGGACGGAGACGAGGAATAAGATCTCAAGTCCCGAACGATTCGGAAACGCGGTGCCTTCGGTCGTCCCTCTTCCGCCCGATTTCGACTCCGTCAGTCAGACTCGAGAGGAGAAACAAAAGCGTTCGCCGAGTGAACGATCGGTTGCGTTTAATTGCTCCCCACGGCCGCAAACAAAGCTCTTGCTCGGTTCGTCCGTATGTCCGGGCCTCCGTCTCCCGCTCTCTCTCTCTTTCTCGCAGGAGTCTTTCTAGAGGGAAATTTCGCTCTCGTTGGTTCATCGGCTGCTCGCTGGCCTGTTTCGTGAGTAGGCCGCCGCTTGTTTGTTTGTTCATTCGTTCGTTCGTTCCCTTCTTCCTTCCGTCGTTCGCCGCTCGAGTGGCTCCTCGATTCGGCTTCGACTGAGCATTGAAGACGAACATAATAAAAAGAGGGACCGATCGAAAAGAACGGAACAGGCGGTGTAGAGATAAGGATAGGTGGCTAGATAACGAGAGGCGTGTCCACTGTTCCTCACAGTGCACTTTTGTCTCGAGTTCACCTGCGACGAACGAATCGTCGAAGGGGAAACCAACAGACGAGCTGGCGGAACATCGAAAGGAGCGAGCAACGAGCTCACGTTTGCTCGGATCGTCTTATTCCCTAATTCTTCATAATCTTGTGTCTAAAATCTCAATCAGACAAAAACAGTCAGGAATTCTCGGTACGGATGGGCGTCAAGTTTCAGTACTCCGGGCGCCTCCCGACATGCTGTACCCGGAGGACTTTGGAGGGAAATATGCGGGAGGAGCGGTTTAGAGGTTAGTCATCTTTGACGGAACTTCCTTCATTCATACCTCGGGCTCTTTCAACGCGGAACTACAATTTGGTCCGCGGCAGGAATCTCTCACGATCACGTAGTCTCATCCGACTTATTCCTCTTCAGGGCCTCCTTGACTGAATGACCCTTCTTGCGCGGAAAGTCGCGTAGCTGCTCCGGAGATCGCTGTCACGAATGAATTTGAGGCAGCAGTATCATATAGGTACTTCTTCCACGGATCGAGGGCGTAGTTCGTCAAATTGCCCGTGCCACTCGGGGTGATCGCTCATCTGCGACTGAAACCGCCAACCGATCGATATGGTGCTGATTGCCCTCCCGGCCAGGCCACATGCGGAGAGGCAGCCCTGAGGGGTGGATTAAGCCAATAAATGACTTCTCGAACAGTCGAATGTCCCCGCGGTTGTCGAGGGTGGCCTCAGACTCAGCGAAGCCGGAGAGGACCCCAGAGAGCTCCCCTGGCCTCATCCTTCAACCTTGTAGATCCATTGACTGCTCCCCAACCGTTTTCTGTCCTCCCACGGTTCAAGTCTGTGCTTCTCCCCAGGGACCCATTTCTATTTTCTTCTTTCCTTCCCTATCCCCATCCGCTGCATTTTATAGACCCGTCCACGGGTGGTTTTGGTCACGCTTGATAACGTGTTGTGTCTTGGGGTCGTTTCTCTTCATGACTCGATCTTGTTTTCACTACCTCACCGCGTACTTTGCTCTCGCTCATTGGAACCTCACTATTCCTGATACC